ATTTGTCCAACCTGTCCTCAGAAACCTCCAGTGATGGAGATTCCCTTGGAAGTTTATTCTAGAGCTTAAGTGCACTTATAGTTAGAAAGTTTTACCTAATATCTAATCTAAATTTCTCTTGCTGTAGATTAAGACCATTATTTCTTGTCCTATCTTCAGTGGTTATGGAGAGCAATTAATCACCTTCAAATATGTTAAGGTCTGTTATAAAGAGGAAGACTTTTTCCCCTCAGTCTTCTTTTCTCAAGAGTAAACATACAGTAACTCCTCACTTAACGTTGTAGTTATGTTCTGAAAAATGCGACTTTAAGGGAAACGATGTTATGCGAATCCAATTTCCCCTTAAGAATTAATGTAAATAGGGGGGTTAGGTTCCAAGGAATTTTTTTTAACCAGACAAAAGACTCTATTTTATGTATGTATACACAGTATAAGTTTTAAACAAACAATTTAATACTGTACACAGCAATGATGATTGTGAAGCTTGAGGTGGTGGAGTCACAGGGTGAGATATTTCCTAGGGAATGCCTTACTGCTAAATGATGAACTAGTACTCGGCTGAGCCCTCAAGGGTTAACCCATTGTTGTTAATTGTTGTTAATTGTTGCCTCACACTCTACAAGGCAGCACGAATGGAGGGAGGGGAGACAGCAAGGCAGACAGAAACACACACCCTGTGTGTGTGAGAAAGAGAGATGAGCATTTCCCCTTTAAGTACGCTATACCACTTTAAATAGATTGCCTTTTTAAGTAGACCAGGAAGTTGAGACAGCAGCTGCTGCCAGCAAACGCCCTGCGTCCTGAGCCCTGTCCTGTCCCCCCGTTCTGTGGAGATGGGGTAAGCAGGGGGCAGGAGCAGGGGGGAGGGGGACACCCTGACATTAGCCCCCCTCTTTCCCCTCCCCTGCACAGCAAGCAGGAGGCTCTGGGGAGCAGCTCCAAGGCAGAGGGCAGGAGCAGCACACAGCAGTGGGGGGAGGGAAAGGTGAACTGCTGGCAATTGATAGCCTGCTGGGTGGCTGCCGCACAGGGAACTTACGGGAGCGGGGAGCAGATAGGGGGGTTGCTGGTCTACCCTGGTTCCAAGCCCCCACCACTAGCTCCAATGGGCTGCTCTTTCTGCAAGCAGTGAACAAAGCAGGCAGTTGCCAAACAATGTTATAAGCAAGCATTGCGCGACTTTAAATGAGCATGTTCTCCAATTAATCAGCAACAAAACAACGGAAACGTTAACCAGGACGACTTTAAGTGAGGAGTTACTGTACCCAGTTTTTTTAACCTTTCCTCATGGGTCATGTTTTCTGAACCTTTTATCATTGTTGTTGCTCTCCTCTGGACTCTCTCCAGTTTGTCCACATCTTTCCTAAAATGCGGTGCCCAAAATTGGACACAGTATTCCCAGTGAGGCCTCACCGGTGCCGAGTAGAACAAGACAATTACCTCCCGTGTCTTAAATTTGACATTCCTGTTAATACACCCTAGAATGGTATTAGCCTTTTTTGCAACTGCATCACATTGTTGACTCATGTTCAATTTGTGATTACCTTAACAAAACCTCATTTTAAATCTCACATGTATAAAGCATTGGTGTTGCTAGAATCAATGGCAAAGAGTTTAAAAAAGCTAAAATAAGACCTGCTTTGGAATTACCAGTACAAAGTCTCTTCCAATAGTGTTAGCATTTCTATTACATTAATTGTTCATATTTTTGAATTCGTATCTGAAGTCTTACATATACGCAGTACATTATTATGTTGACAGAAAGAGAGTGAGAGCTGTAATGTCATGATGGACAAAGCAATTAAGACTCTGCTCAGAAAAGAGAGCAGAGTTAACCACAGATGACATTGTGGGATACTTAAATAGCACATTTCACATCATTTTTTGATTTAGTAGATCTTCTCTTAAACAAAGACAGGATTATTAAGATCAATCATCCTACAGCAGTTGTTTAGTAAATTGAATTTCTTGCCTCGTTTGTTACTCAGTGGATTAATGGATTTCAACAAGTAATAGTTGCCAAAGGGCTTTAAAAATCAGTGATGCTCCCTTGACAACAAAGGCTGCACATATAAAATACGTTAGAAATAACAATATCAGCAGCAGTGACACGTGAGAGATATATGGATCTATACACAGAATCTGTATTATACCTTAGAATTATGTCTACATGGCACAGTTGGCTCGTGCATTCGCTTTTCACCTCTGGAGACCTAGGTACAAATCTATGTAAATTACAAGAGAAAATAACTTGTCTAGAACTTAGTAGGCAATTGGTCACATTACAAAGCTGCTAGTACTCCTGACAATTCCTGGCTAGCTGGTTACGGTACAGGGCAAGCTGAGTTCATAGATTTCAAGGCGGGGAGGGACCATTGTGGTCATCTACTCTGACCTCCTGCACAATACAAACCAAAACCCCTCATGCAATAATTTCTGCATCAAGCCCGTAACTTCTATTTGAATTATGGTATATCTTTAGGAAGACATCCTATCTTGATTTAAAGACTTCAGGTAATGGAAAATGCACCATATCCGTAGGTAGGTTGTTCCAGAGGTTAATTAGCCTCACTTAAAATGTATGCCGTATTTCTCATCTGAATTTGTCTAGCTTCAGCTTTCAACCATTGGATCTTTTTATGCCTTTTTCTGCTAGATTAAAGAGCTGCTTGCTATCAGAAATCTCTTCCCCGTGCAGGTACTTGTAGATTGTGATCAAGACATTTCTTAACCTTCTCTTTGATCAACTCAATTGATTGAGCTTCTTACGTCTCTCACAATAAAGCATGCCTTTTAGTCCTCAAATTATTCTTGTAGCTCTTTTCTGAACACTTTCCAGTTTTTGAACATCCTTTCTGAAATGTGAATGCCTGAACTCAACGTGGTATAACTAGTAATGGTCTCGCTAAAGTTGTATGAGTAGTTAATAACACCACCCTAGTTAATATTTCCCTATTTATACATTCAAGGAACTCATTTGCCTTCTTAGCTACAGTACCTAACTGGAGGCTCATGTTCAATGATCCCTTAAGTCAGTGGTTCTCAAACTAGGGCCGCCACTTGTTCAGGGAAAGCCCCTGGCGGGCCGGGCCAGTTTGTTTACCTGCTGCATCCGCAGGTTCGGCCGATCGCGGCTCCCACTAGCTGCGGTTCGCCACTCCAGGCCAATGGGGGCTGCAGGAAGTGGTGCGGGCTGAGGGATGTGCAGGCCGCCCTTCCTGCAGCCCCCATTGGCCTGGAGCTGCAAACCGCGGCCAGTGGTAGCCGCGATCGGCCGAACCTGCGGATGTAGCAGGTAAACAAACTGGCCCGGCCCGCCAGGGGCTTTCCCTGAACAAGCGGCGGCCCTAGTTTGAGAACCACTGTTCTAGATAATTGATAAAGTTATTGAATAGCATTAGGTCACGAACATATCCCTGCTGATGCCTCTAGAAACAACTCCATTGGATGACAATTCCCCGTTTATATTTATTGTTTGTGATCTATCACTTAGCCAGTTTTTAATCCATTTTTACATGGACTGCATTGATTTTTGTATAGTGCTGACTTCATCTGAGTGTCACGTGGGAATTAGTTACATTGGCAAAGTTGGCTGCATGAGGAAACTTGCCCAGCATGTATCTGTGCTATGCCTGACTCTAACCATTGCCACTTTCACCAGCACCATATCTGAAGGCCAACTTCTTGACGTTATTGACTGTCTACCACTAGGATTTGGTCTTATATTAGCATTGTGTCCTTTACTCTGCATATATTCGTTGTCAAATTAATGCATGTATGTTGCAAAGGTACTCTTAGAGTGGAGACCTTTTGAATACCTTGGTGTTTGTGCCATTCCCTACTTGCTCTAATACAAAATCTTAAATACTAGGCCTTTCCAGCATCAGTGACTGACCACCACAACTACAGGTCTCATGAAACACCACTGTGCTTTGTTATATCCCTTGAGCAGGCCACAGCCTGGAGCATTATTTACATCCTATTTACAGTTGGTAGCCAGTTTCCCCCACTCGCACTGGGAGAAGGTACAGTAGCCAGTCCTGCTACTCTCCTTCTGAGCACTTCCTTCCTGTCTGTTTATATAGTTCCAGCTGGGGGGTTACTTCCACCCAATTAGCCCCTCAGGTGTATCTCTACTCAGTTAATTGACACCCTCTTCCAACTGCCTGTCTTTCGGTCAAGTCCCAATTAATGTACATTGATGGAGATCTGAGTGACAAGATGCTGAGTGCTTGGTTTTATTCCCAAAAGGAATTCAATATGAAACAACACAAAATCCAGCCAAACCTTCTCGCCAGGCTTGGCTCCCTACAGGATTCCGCCTCCAGGGTTTGCTCAGCCTAGATCCTTTCTCTGTAAGGGGCATTCCCATCTCCCCTACTTCCAGGTGAGATAATGAGCCAGCTGCAGCTATGACTCAGCAAAATACACGTAACAGTTTTTTACAAGATGCTCAACATTTTTTAACAGGATCATCACCCAGTTACAGGGTAGGGCTGTCAGCCTCTTCCAGTGCATTGCAAACTTTTTCCTCAGCAAAATTTAATCTTTCATTTGAGGGAAATTTTTAAGCACTTGTCAAAACCAAAAAGAGTTGAGTGTTTATATGATGCAAAATAAGTATTTTAGGAGTATCTTGATTGCAGTAAAATGAACTAAGCACATAATATGTCTCCAGCTCATTGATATTTTTAAGGCTTTACATCTGTATTTGACTGCTTATGTGATTTACCAAAACATAATATGCTTATATTTAATGTGCATCCCATTTAAATGGCGATATCAAAATAGAATCACTTCATGTCTATTTAAGCAAGAAAGGAATGGACTTGCTAAAAATACCAATTGTCTACGCCCACAAAAGACTGTGGAGAAATAGAAAATCAGCTAGTCCAGATGCATGGACTCTGTTAAAATTAGGTCCATTGAATCGTTACACTGCAATCCTATTAGATAAGACGCATGATCCTAATGGTTCAGTGTGCTTCTTCTCTCCCCAGGAATGAGGCAAGGTAATGACTTTGGCACACAGTATCGCTCGGCCATCTACACGTTCTCTCAGGAACAGATGGAAGCTGCTCTGCGATCTAAAGAGGATTATCAAAAGGTAATATTGGATAGGATGTGGAATTAGCCTGTGCATGATCAAAGTTGAAGGGAAATTGGGAATGAGCACAGAAGGTGAGCTCGTGTTCTGTGTGTTTGCTGCATATTAGTCCTTTCGCTATTCACTGTATGTTGTGTTTATTTTAAGTTTTAAGTTGGAATTGTTATAAAAGTTTTTGCGAATCATCTTGGTGCCTTTGTGCTGAATTGTTTCGCTAATTGTTCTGGCAGAAAATATCAATGTTTTAGTCTTAAAATACAGACTATGTGGATGTGCCAAAACAAAACCCAGGGACCGAAAGTCTATGCAAATCTCAACGTTGCAGCTGGTCCCTATTCCTATAATGGTTCAAAGCAAACCTCAAATCCAAGCACTCATGGAATTTGGGGAAGTTTGGATCCGGATTAGAACTCTGCCTCTCAGGGCCATCTCTAATTGTGTGTTTCAATCTTTAAAATGTATCTGTAGTGTACTCAGCAGTCCATTCCATACCTGCTTAGTCCAGGTGTGACTTGAGGCAGACTTGCAGTCTATCGTATGACTTAGGGAGACCCTCTGTGTTGACATTAGACAACACAACATTTGTTTAATGTGAGAGGTAGGGAGAAAGAAAACTACAGACTCTTTCAACTTCAGCAGCTCCAGTGAATATTCCCATATGAATTAATGACATTTGGGTTCTGGCTTTGTCTATCATAAGAGATCCTATAGGACTCAGATCGACAAAAGGCAGCAGAATTATTATATCTTAGAAGAGGCTACTTTGCAAAATAGTAAGATGATTAAAGGGACACTCCTGAAGAACATAAGCTAACTCTCCAGCTTTATTTAAATGTGAGAATGTGTATGTCCATGTTGTGAGATCCCTCTAGTTTTCATACGTTCACCATAGTTGTGAATAGGCAGGTTATTGAAATGTTCATTGTTGGCCTATTCCATTTTTAATTTGCAAACTTTCATCATGAACAGTCATGATCTAAACCAGGGGTAGGCAATCTATGGCATGCGTGCCGAAGGCGGCACACGAGCTGATTTTCAGTGGTACTCACATTGCCCAGATCCTGGCCACCGGTCCGGGGGGCTCTGCATTTTAATTTAATTTTAAATGAAGCTTCTTAAACATTTTAAAAACCTTATTTACTTTACATACAACAATAGTTTAGTTATATATTCTAGACTTATAGAAAGAGACCTTCTAAAAATGTTAAAATGTATTACTGGCACGCGAAACCTTAAATCAGAGTGAATAAATGAAGACTCGGCACACCACTTCTGAAAGGTTGCCGACCCCTGATCTAAACTAATACCCTGGTTTTTTATTGTTGTTTTATCAAAGATTCTTAACAGTGTTACAGCTCTTGATATGAAGGGTCTGACAATCTTTTTTTTTTTTTTCAAGATCCAGAAATGTTTTTGAAAAATGTTGACTGTGTATGTTTCCTTTTGAACAGTTGACCTAAATGGTGTCCCACTATGAAAGCTAAGTTCACAATCCAACTGTTGCAATTGATGGTACAAGGTATCACTGTAGAATGATGTTAATGTTTTAGGTTTCTCTCTCCAGTTTTCCTCCATACAGTATTTCTCCACTGTGACAGCATTTAGAACATCACTCAACATCTCTGTCTAGAGCATCCAGCTTCTTGTGATGTAGGAACACAGGGATTGCTACCAGGTCAGCCTAGAGGTCTTGCCAGTACAATATCTGGTCTTTGATAGTGACCAGAACCAGAAGCTGCAGAGGAGGGTGTCAAAATTCCTATAATGGGCAATTATGGAGTAATCTGCTATTATGCAATTATGACATAATGCCATGTCGCAGATTAGCTAGCAAGTGGTGCTAAGAGAATGGGACCTTTCACATCTCCCCTCCAGGAAGAAAGGTCACGTCACTTACACAGGGCACTCACTAGAGGATGATTATGTTGAAGAACAAGAATATTGGAGAACTGGTACTTAGGTATTATGGTGTTAGGTGTTTTAGAGGTGCTGGTAGATAAGATAGAAAGACAGAAGTCCTTCAAGAATATTTAATATTAATACAGTAGGGAGCTGAAGTGTTAAGGAATAAAAAACAAACCAGAAGTATATGCTAGTCCGAATGGGAGGCTGAAGCTATTGAGCTATATATAGTGGGTCTGATTTTATAACTCTGCATGGATGCACAAAATTATGCATACAGTTGACTACTTTGCATATGCAATTGCCATGGTCTGATCTGAAAATCACTGCTTTGAACATGCAAATAACCAATTTCCAAATGGCTGCTAGCACCTTAGTAACTGTGCATGCAAATTGTGTGCAATTGCCTACATATTTTTGTAATAGTTGCACCCACATGAGTATAGATCTGAAGCCGCCTGAGGTTCTCTCTCTGTGTACAAAGTGGCTGCTGAAGTTTATTTCTCCATATATACCTTACAGAACTTCGTGCTATTTATTGTTACTTTGGCCCCAGGCCTTTTCTAACTTGCTTTCTTCTCTCTTCTGCTCACAGCAGTTGAGCCATATCACAATATGCGTCTTACAGCTTTCTGTTTGCTCTCCCAAAGCAGTGAGTGTCACCAAACTGATACTAACTTGAAATCAAAATCACAATACAAAACAATATAACATAATGCTATGTGAACTGCCATCTCTATAGCTGAATTTCCTAATGGCACAATTTATAAAATCTAGCTTGTTTGAAGTCTATTACTTTAGATGGAAGGTGCATATAATTTGTGTATTAATATAATTAGGCACAAATATGTAACTGATCTCCTTCATAGTTTGTTTCTGCCCTGGGAAGGTGACTTTAAAAAAGGTGAATATTCAGTCAATTACTCTGCTACTCAACAGACATGTACTGTGGTTACCAGAGCAAGTGCCGTATCATCTACAGTAGCACTGTAGTTATAGTAAACCTCTTGTGCCGAGAGAGCAGTGACCCATTCCCATATTTAGTAGGAACCTTTTTTCCCCTTTGATTTGCATTGGATTATTTTTAAGGTAAATATATACAGTAACCTGCCTTATAAATTCAGGTTCTACTAACAATAGATGCGCAACAGTGCTTGAGCCACTTTTGCATATGTCAGATGCATCTCCATCAACCTTATCGAGTCAGATAAAGGGCATTTATGTGTCGCATACTGCTTGGTTTTCCAAGCTACTCATTGATGCACCCCGCATCCTGCACTACGCTAAACGTATAGTACCAACAATGTGTGTGTGAGTGGCACCGATGATTTGCTAGCACTGTAATTAACTTAAAGCCAAGTTGTCTTGTTTGTTATCTCACTGCATAACGGAACATGTACTCAGGCCAGTTAGCTGGGTTTTTTTGGTTTTTTTTTCAGCTGAGACCTTGAAAAGAATTAACAGTGGATGGTTTCAGGGAGCCATAGAATCATAGAAATGTAGGGCTGGACGGAACCTTGGGAGGTCATCTAGTCCAGCTGCCCGTGCTGATGTAGGATCAAGTATACATTATGTTATCTTGTATATGTTGTTACACTGAAGGAAAATTTTTATGTTTTATTGGGATAGAAATCCTCCTGCTTCAGGATGTAAGGCAACCATTAACTCATGGGAGTTAGGAAGAAACTTCCTTTAAGTACGGGATGTCCCACAACAAGACACTATGAGGTTTCTTGCACTTCTCTAAAGCAGCTGGTGGAGGCATTAGAGACAGGCTCCTGTTCAAGAGGGGCTGCTACAGCTGTGAATGACAATTCTTATACTTATGAAACAGTAAAGTTATGCATCACTTTGCTATCTTAATGCTGGAAAACACTGGCTTTAAAGTGGGAGAAGGCTATATTTTTCCTGTAGGCCTTCTGCATCCCTGTCAGTGTCCTGAAGAACCCAACATTTCAAATTGCACAAACTTCCTAGAAGGTGGCACAGTATCATTATCCTTCCAGGCACAGAAGACCAAGTAGCTGCAGAAGTGTGCTCTTCTGTGCCCTTCAAAGTCTCTGCTTAATAGTCTGCTCAACAGTGTCCATTAGTATGAAGATCTCCTCCCAGAACTTGAGCATGCTGAGTAAGCAACATGTCTACCTCTGACTAGTCCAGGGGGCAAGAATGAGGTTGTGCGTTGAACCTGAGCGTCTCTCATATACACATCTATTTTAAGCTGTGACACTTGCTGCTGATTCATGTAACTGTTTAACAGCTGAGAAATGGCAATACAGCAACCAGGAATGAATATGTATTGGGGCCAAGCATCTTTGACTGTTTATGAAATTGGGTGCATACAGTGGTAGACCGTGAATGGTAATATGTATTATAATACGGTCCCACTGTTAGTGAATTGTAACAAAGGTGTAAGTGTAATTATAAAAACAGAAAATGCGGGCCAGAGCTTGATGAACGTGCTGTGAGTTAGCGCTTCAATCCATTTTGTCTGAAGCTGAGGTGTTTGGGATTTTTTTAATACAGTTGAACTTGAGGTTATTTAATTTTCAAGAAAGTTGTGAGTTTGGGTCCGGTTGTCAAATTAATTATCTAGGCAATAATCCAGATGCAGAATTAGGGTGGGGGAGAGAGATTTTTTCCCTCAAAATTGCAATTGTACTAGGTTCAACCAAGCTGCACGCACAAAGTTTGCAGGCTTCCAGGAATCCACTGAAGTTAATTGCAAAAGACCAGTGTAAGACATGCTGGGGTTACTTTAAGGGAGTGTATGTAATATGCTTCCTAAACTGATGTAGGTTTCAGTGACTTTTTTACAGGGGAAAGATTGATAGTGGAGCCAGTGTGCAGACATATGGCACAAAATATATTCTTTGCTATAAAAGCAAATTCCTTACAGGACAAACTCCAGATGCAAAGGAGTTTAAGGGCCCCCCCTGAATTTGTTGACTGTAGTGGGGATTCTAAATTCATAAAAAATGTCTGAGACGTCTCTAATAATTAAGGCTAAGTTATAAACTTCGGAGTCTCAAACCTGAGTCTTTGACATACAGATGTTAGCCCTTGTGGGGGGAAAATAAGCTCCTGACCTTTGTTCTATATACGAAGACTTTTTAAGTTGATTT